TAGTATCTTATTCCCATCTAAAAATAAAAAATAAAAAAATAGACAAACACAAAGAGAATAGATAAGTTAATTTATGAGCTAATGTGATACCACTCGCCAAACAAAAATAAAATCAAATAACAAATAATAAAAAGAACCTAAAATAACAATATAGTAGGAAGACCACCAAATACTGTGACTTGAAATATGAAAATGAAATAACTCTTTAGAAGGCAAACTGGAAAAAATTAAATAGTTTATTTTTAAAATATCTTAATATTAAAGAATAAAATTAAAAAAATATTAAATTAAAAAAAAACTCGAGTAAGCCCGGGTCAACCCGTCAAACTCATGACTCGAATAAAATGGATAATTGAATTTCAAAAAACTCAACATGGAAGGAAGGAATTGAAAAAAAATAGTGTAAAAAGAATTGTTGTTAACCTCAATTAATTTTTCAAACTTGTAACTTGGATTATAAAACCAAAATCACCCTATCAAGAAAAACACAAGGAGTTAAATTTCAAACCAAATCCATATCAAATGATAAAATTAAAAAAAAAATCAAATTTTCAAAAGAACAAAAAAAAAATAATACTCAAAAAAATAAGGACCAAATTTAAAATAAAAGATAATAACTTACATATTTTGATCGAATAATAAAATTAAAAAAAAATTATAAAATGATCCAAATAAAAACCAGTAATATTAAATTTTTTTGTTTTTTTTAAAAAAACATCTTACAACTTTTTGATTGAAAAATAAAATTAAAAACATTTTTAAAATTTACAAGAGAATCTAGAATAAAAAATTAGCAATCAATATGAAGTATAAATAGAGAAAAAAAACAAAGAAATAAAATAAAATAAGACGCTATCATCAAACAAACCACCAACCTATTATAATTCTAGTTTATATATGTCGCACCATATAAAAGAACAAATATCAAGTTTGGCTACTAGAGCACCATAACCTCCCTCGCTCTCAAGCACATATAGTTTGTGAGCCAACCAATCCTATCATGTCTCTTAACTTCAATCCATTATATTTGTTTTAGTATTAAAATGGTCCTTGAGACCTTAAAACCTTAAAACCTTAATTGTTTTAAATCAATATAATTTAAATATATTTTGACAAACAGAGCACAATCGTGCAAACCAATTCCTAGTGAGGTAAAATTAAAAGAGCCCAATATTTTTTAAAATCTAAAATTTGGTCCAAAATTTTAATGGTTATAAACCAATAAAATATATAATGGACCAAAATATAAAATATCAAATGATAAAAAAAGAGAGAGTGAATTACTGTTGTAATTCATAGAGTAACTTTAAAAGAAGACTTAAGTTTTTTGTAATTATTTTTTAAAATAAACTACCAAATTAAATACTTATAGTATTAAGGTAAAATAGGAAGTTAGGAATTTATTTAATTTTGTCATCACTTATAAACCGAAGACTTACAAGAAATTTTCAATTTCAACTGTTTCAACTAAATACAAATATCACTAATGTTATAGAAGGACATCCGGATACGTCTAACTCTTCTGATTACATAATTATAATCATAAAAAAAATGGAAATTTGTACTATATATAGACTTAAACATGCATGAAATTAAATTTGTTTCACTATTTGCCTAGTTATTACTCAATTATTACTTTGTTTTAAAGTATGTTTATAATTTTTTAAAAAAATATTTTTCATATTAAAATACATTAAAATGATATTTTTATTATTTTTTTAAAATTATTTTTAATATCAACACATCAAAATCATTTAAAATATAAAAAAAAAAGTATTTAAAAAAAAATTAATTTTTTAAAAATATAATTTATATTACATTCCCAAATTGTGAAATAACTTAAAATTATGAAGGACTCGATAGATAGTAATGAATTATGAATCACATTTGAATCAGCTTGTAACTCGGAGTAGGATAGGATGATGATATAAACATGATCCCTCTTTTTTCTTTTAACATTAACACTGGAAAAAAAGAATAAAATATCACATTCTAGAAAATATAGTTTAGCAAATCATAATAACATGTTTCACTAGTGATTCTATTCAATTGTTAAATGAATTTCCACAAATTATAATAAAAAAATAAATAAAGGAGTAAAAAACAAGTTTTTGAATGAAAACTAAAACTCCAATGATAATATTATTTATATTTTTAAAAAAATATTTCAATAAAATAAATCTAACAACTTTAAATAAGATAATCAATAATAATTAGGGTGGAACAAATAAACCATTCAAAGTTGATGATTAATTCATTTACTTTTGAATAATTCGTGTAATATATTTTTATTAATGTGTTATATTTGTCTGTAATAATTAGCTAGACTGATCAATCTTTCTAAATATTTCATAGGCTGTTTTATTTTTCAATTTTTTTTAATTTGCTAATTTAAAAGAAAAAACAAAAACTCTCTGAATCTTCAATTTAATTTGCTGTTTGCTGCACGTTATCCTGAGTCATCATCAGAAATCCACAGATCACCATTACTCCTGGCAAATAGTGCATGCATCAAATCAATTCCAGGAATCGCTATAAATGACAATAAAATCTGAAGCTCTAAGCACAGTTGTTTTCCATAGAGATAATCATCGAGGTTCAATTTAATGGCGGTATTGGGAAATGCTCAAAGTCAAGTCACGAGAAAATTTAAGAGCCCTAATTTATTTCCCATTAAAAATGCATTAAACCAACTGTCTCCCTCCTCTTCTAACTTACTAATATATTTCAAATCCCAATGCCACGCCACTGCCAATGCCAAGGGCACTGCCCTGCACCTATCTCTTCCCACCATGAACAACGTTCTCTTGTCAAAACCTGGCAATGATTTTGACCAACTCCTCCCTGGTCTGGTCCCAACCCAATTTTTATTTTTTTATTATAATTATCTAGTTAATATACACACACACACACATATATATTTTAACTAATTTTCTAATATTTAAACTAGTGATATCAGAAAACAAATTCAAATTCTATGAATCCTTACCTTCTTAGATTTTGAGTTTATTTGCTCTATTAACCTGAACCCGTTGATATCAACCAAAACTACTGTTTATTGGTCACAATAAAACCATCCCACGTTTACATATTAAGAATGCCTTCGGCTAAAAAACCTTCTCGTATGCTTGCTTTAGACTTTAAAGGTCCAGCTCTTCAGCTTTGAGTCTTTGACTGTGCCAACAATTTACCTTTGGCATAGCTGCGGTAGCTTTTGTAGATGCAAGTGATAAGTTGTTGAAAACGAAAGAAAAAGAGGTTGGCATAAAAGTTGCAGATGATACGAGAAATAAAATTACAAAAGCTTGAAGAAGTAGATTTTCACTCGAAATGGAAACCCCTAATTTGTGCGTAGAAGCATGCATGCACACACGAGACCCATTAAAAAGACAGGAATATTTAGGTGATGGCAAGTAATAAGAATCTAAAATTAAAAGATTTTTTTTTTGTGGTTTTAAGTTTGAATTTTGTGGTTATTTATATAATAATTATTAAAAGTTTATATGATTATTAATTTTAAAATTTATAAAATTAATTAAGATATATGCAAGTTAACTTGAATATTTATATTAAATTAAAAATAAATAAAAATGTAAAATATATGTTGGACGATAAATTAATGAATGCTTGGAGTGGAAGTATAAAAAGACATTTCTTTTTTATTTCCACCATCGCAGTTGGTTGCTGTTTTAATAGCTTTTTTAAACTTCGAGGAAAAAAAACAAAAAAACCTCGCTCTTGGGGCAAGAAGTGCCTTGAGTGCATATACAACAGTGTTTAACACTGTCCCAACTCGTAAAAAAGTATTTTAAAGTAATGATTTAATATAGCAATATCATATAAGAATTACAAAGTGACTAGCTATTTAAGCAAATTCTTTTGTTTCAAAAAATAAATATTGGGTATACAAGCTATCTTTATGTATATAAAAGTATAAATTAAAAAATTTATGTAAATATTTAATTAAATAAATGGATAATTATCTATATAAATAAAAAAGTATTATTAATAACCCAAAAAAATAAAAACATTAAGAGATGAATATTGATAAATATATTTAATTACACAAAATAAGATATTTAAGTAATTATATTCGCTAAACTTGTTTATTTAAATTAATAAAAAAACATAAATGAAATTGGTTGAATGAACCCACACCCTATAACAATATTATAAAATGCTGAAAATATAAAAAATATTATTTAAAAATAAAATTTATTTCTATAAAACAAAAAAAATATAGATAAATTAAAATAAATATCTTTAGAAATCAAACATAAAAATTTTAAAAACAATTGCATAAAAAAAGCATGCAATAAGACATGAGTAAATTCATAAAAAAATTAAGAATAATCACAAAACTAATATTAAAAAAAACTTTTGCAAAAGGATAAACAATAAAATTATTTAAAAAAATGAATAACATTATCCTTTTAAATTTAATATCAAAAGCAAAAGAAACCCAAAAAAACTCATGTAAAGGTATAAAAATAACCACAAATACAAACTTTATTTTTTAACTTTTCTAGGATCAATAAAATATTGTAACGAAGGGAAAAACCAAAAAAACCCTTCATCCAGGGGCGAAGATGAAAATAGCTTGTAGGGATGCAGGCCCTGCTTGACTGCCTCCTCCTAGGTCCGCCCCTGCCTTCATCAACAACCTGATGTTTTGATCATGGGGGCAAAAATTACTGTTTAAAAGCCTTTTTTTTTTTAAAAAAAAAAACCTTATTGGGGGCAAAAATTACTATTTAAAAGCCTTTTTTTTTTAAAAAAAAAAACCTTATTTTTATTGTAAAAAAATTGGCAAAAACAATGAGAAAGGGGAAAAGCCAAAAATATAATATAATTTTACCACATGTCCATTGTAAACTATCTAGTGTTCCAGTAAAACCCACATTTTGTTTTATGCGTTGTGCTTAGATTATTTATTCACAGCTTATTACACATGAGATATTAACAGTTGGATTTGCAACTAGCTAGGTTAGATAAGATTCTACGACTCCAATATTTGTGCTTTTGTCATTACATAAACCCACAAAGGTACAAAAGTTAGAAATGTCTCTTCGACATTTTTGCCATTACATACACAGAATGCCTACGCTAAAACATAAAATTTCATGTCAACAAGGAAAAAAAGACTTCCACTTTATTATGCGACCGTTCATTCTACAAACGAATTATTTTGTACCCCGACAAGACGTTCACGTGCAGAACAGCAAGAACCATTTTCACAAGTCACGTGACTAGCAGCCATAGTAATAATGCAGCTGCTTCTCGGAACCTGTAGTGGTATTAGACCTCGCAGAGAAGACTCCATTCCAGATCTCAGTGAAAGCTCTAACGATAATCCCATGATAGTAAGGAGAATTTAGCTGCAAGAAACAATCAAGGAGCTGTCTAAGATCATCCTTTGAGTAAATCTGCTTCTCCAGTATCATATGCAACATTGAGTGTCTAAAATCCAGATAAGGGTCATCGGAATCTTTCTCAACAGCAACGCTTTCACCTCCAACACGCCCAAATCCTCGCACGGCTCTTGAACACGTCCCGCTGTTGTCTGTGTCAGAGAAGAAATACGGTGGTGTGTCCACTGATGGAGAGAAAGTGGAAGGGGTGTCATGATATTCATGGTCGTTTCGAGATTGGTTTGTGGTTATTTTTGTTGAAGAGGTCGAAGAAGAGGAGCAGTAGAGATCCTTCTTGTGTTTTCTGTAAGTGGGGGTTTGGGGTTTTGGTTTTGGCTGGAATATATTGGAAAGTTTTGGTTTCTTGCAGCTGCTACAGCCTAAGTTCACCGAGACTGTTTTGAAAAGGAGCTTTTTCTTGTTAGTGGACATTGTTGATTGTTAAGAGTGCGTCTGTGAGAGAAGGAGAGGTGAAAGGAGTCTGTTGGGATTTCCTTGAAGAGCGCCTGAGCAAGTGAGTGAATAGAGATGAGGCATTTGACTGAGGTAGTGGAAGGAGGGGAGGGTTCTCTATAGATCCTGCATGCCTTATGATGGGCCCCCGCTCTATATATGATATCACGACTCGTCTGTTAGCATTCATGTATCACAGCATGATCTTGAGCGTACACGAGTTATTCTTGATCTGGCAAATTTGCCATGGTGGAACGGTGTAAATCAACTGTTTATAGACCTGGCTCCAAAGGCCCATTGGTAAGCTGTCATGTTATATACTGTAATGTCACAGTTGTTTTCTTCTTCCTATTTTAATCCAGGGAGGTAGGTACCATACCATGGTTTGAGGACAACTATAAACAAGATAGATTCACATAACTAATTATAAGATAGATGCTTGAATAATGATTATTTATAGTGTATTTATGATTTTTTTTAAATAATTTTTTATGTTAATGATATTTTTTATTTTTTAAAAAATATTTTTAATATCAATATATTAAAATAATTTAAAATTACTAAAAATATATTAATTTAAAATAAATAAATAAATTTAAATTTTTTTTAAAATACTTTTAAAATGCCACCTCCAACTTCAAAAGTAAAGGGAACTAATTCATCATGGTAAAGCCAGGAATCATGTCAATTAATCTCAATTTATTCTTTCATAAATAATTGATAAACATTTAATATAACTTATTTATAACAAATATATATATATATATATATATATATAAACATAATCTTAATTTTTATTAAATTAGAATTTTGACTCAATTTTGTAATAATTTTTTTTTATTTAAGCTAATAATTAATTCTAATCAAACTTGTTTATGATTTTTCTATAGGTAAGAAATTTAAACCAATTTACAAAAACCATATCAAACAAAAACTTAATCAAAGGTTAAAATTTTCAACTTTCAACTTATAAATTTTACTTACACTATTTTCTTAAAATGATTTTATACATATATCTTACATAAATATTTTTAATTAATTTTAATATAAATTCATTTTTTATTGTTCATATCAAGCAACTTTTTTTTTTAATCACAATTACAACTGCATTTACACTTATACCCACGATCATTCCAGTAGCCACAACTACAATTACATCAATCTTCAAAGCTTTGTAGTCGGATTGAACTAATTTTTTTTGTTTTAATTTTTTTTTGTATTTTTAGTTTGTTTTAATGTACTAATATTAAAAATAATTAATTTAATATATTTTTGAGTAAAAAATATTTAAAAAAATAATCTTTCCCATAATCAATCCCAAATAAATTGTAAATCAAACAAAAATCTAATGAGACACTGGTGAACTTTTGAATTTTAGTATTGAAAACATATCAAGTTTTGTTTATGATAAGAGGATTAGTGAATAAAAACGACAAATCTAAACTAATCTTTGCCATGGACACTGCTTCTTTGGCAACTGAAACAAGATAACATACACAGAAACCCATGAAGAACTCGAGTGTGTTTTTCATTTCCAAGTAAACTCCTCTAGTTTAATGTAGGGAATGGTGAAAAACAACTTTTCATTTAGTAAAATATAAAAAGTGAAGTTATTATTTTAATAGAAGAACACATGATCCTTGCATTTTCCTCCCAACCCTTATAAAATTAAGCAGCAATGTCCAGCAGCACCAATCTGTAGAAAAAGTTGCTTTCCAGCTTGAACTCTGGTAAATCTTCAACCATGTTAGCATTGAATGCTTAAAAGATCCGGTTTAATATCTATGAGAAAGTAGCGAATCTCCCAAATTCAAGAAATATATGACGCTTTGATTATGAAAGATTCGGAATCGTTCAAGATTGTCCAATGAATTAAAGTAAAGCTATAAAGGCACGGACTTTAAAAGATTAAAAACAGCACCTTTAATTATTCAGAATTATCCTGAATTTGAGTCAAATTGAACTTGGTCCCCGGATTTTGATTTTGTTTTGTTATAGACCCCTATTTTATCTATGTTATTAAATTTAGCTTATGTAACATGTTATTTTATTAATCTTTTTTTTTATTTGAAGAAATCCCATTTCTTGAGAAGTATACCTTGTGATTTTAGATAAACAAATAAAATTTTGGTTGTTTAGAGATATATATCTTAATTTGAACTCGAGACCTGTCGTATAAATCTCAAATTTTTTATTGTCACGCTACCCTTCTTGAAAACTTAATCTAATAATCTGTTATTTTGAGATTTCGATCTGGATTTTATATCAAATTAGATAAGAATTAAATATTTAAATAAAAAATAATAATAAAAAGCTAAATTAAGTTTTTCATAAATTTTAGGATAATTATTGATAATTTAGTAAAAAAATAAAAATTACCCTTACCTTTCTATAATTTAATTCATATTATAATTATAACTATATGTTATAATTTGAAAAATTATATTTTATATCATAAATTTTATAGGTATATTAACATTTAATATTCTAAAAAAATCAACAAAAAAAATCTAATTATTTTCGAGATTATAATTATTTCTATTTAATAACTTCAAAACTTTTCCATATTATAATCTCAATTGAAAAGAAAAAAAAACACCTTGTTCATCTTTTTCCCTTACATGACCCTAGTTGTCACTCCATGCATCTTCTTCCCCCGAGCACCAAACCTAGCCACCACCTTCCCTTCACATCTGATCCCTCACTAGCCGAATGACTAGAAAAAAAAAGTTAGTCATCACATCTTCTGTCATATTAATCCTTTAATTCCTCTCTTTCTTGGCAATTATATTGAGAAAAAGAACCTCATCTTCATCTTTTTTTTTTTTTTACTTCTATCCTTTTTCCTCTAATTCCCAGTTTGCAAACCATAAAAGAAAAGGAAATCAAATAAATTCTCGTCAACTCAACAAGAAACCTTAATGAAAAATTACAATTAAATGTATCCTTAAATATCTCATTATATCCTTTCCATGTTGTTGCTCGCTGTCGAAGAAGGAAAGAAAGTCACATCACCCCATGTTGCCTGCTAACAAGGCTGATAATGGTGTTGTAGTAGTGGAGAGTTGCTGTTGTGGTCGCTAATAACTGCTAAGGCCCGTAGAGAAGAGAGCTGGCTGGTGCGAATGTTGGTGATGGTGTTGGGTTCTCTTGGTTTGGGTGATGGAGATTTTACAGGTTTAAGTCAGGGGATTGGATGTTATTAACGGTGGGGATGTAGTTTGGGCGACTTGGTGTCGAGTTGAATTGGTTCGATGAATATTTAAGTTGTTTGTGGGTTTGTGCAGGGAGCTGGTGTGCTCAAAAACCAAAGAGGGGTGACTAAAGTGGTTGTGTAATTAAGCAGAGAGAGGGAATTGATGTTCATAAAATGGCTTTCCAGCTTTGAAATGAGTTTTCTGTGGGTGCTTTGATTCAGTTTGTTCTGGGAGTATTTATCTTCACATAGGATTTATCTGCAATCAAGAGATGAAAAGAAAGGATAGTTAACTAGATCCTAACAGGAGATAAAAATGTTGCTGGAAGACAGAGGACAAGATGTAGAAGCTCAATGTATTGTTTGGTCATCTTGTATTTAAGTTAAATGCGGATAATTCAGGCTTTATGAAATAATTTTCTCACTTTTCATAGGTTAACAATAACTTGGAAGAGAATACGATTGTTCAATCTATTTCATTTAAAAATAATAATAAATATAAAAAAATTACATTGAAAAATAATAATGAATATAAAAAAATTTCAAATCAAAGAAAGATGTCTTTTATGTAGTGCTCAAAAAAGGTAACATAGAATAAAAAATCATACATATAAAGAAGATCTTAGTTAAAAAATTATTTGAAAATATTAGAGATGTTGCCTTACCAATTTAAAAATTAACTTCATGTTAATAGGCTATATAGATAAATAATAAAAACAAAAAGTTTTAATGAAATTCTTTTTAGTGATGTTTTTGATAAGTTATTATTTGTTATTCTGTTTCAAAAATATTTTTTTAAAAAATATTTTTTATTTTAAATTAATATATTTTTATGTTTTTAGATTATTTTGATATACAGATTTTAAAAATAATTTTTAAAAAATAAAAAAATATTATTGACAATTTTTTAAGTAAAAAACACTTTAAAAAAATCATAACCATACTTTCAAATATATTAAATATTTTTAAATAAAAAATACTTAAAAAAATAATAACCACACTTTCAAATACATTAAATAATATATATGTTAGCAAAAACATTTTATGACAGAAATTGCTTACTGGAGAAAAAATTAGGTTGAAGATTTTATGAACTAATATTACTGTAGGTATAATTGTTAAGATAGTTTTCCTAAGATAAAAAAAAATTCTATATTTGTTATTTTACAAGTATATTTATGTTTGTTATATGGTTTAATATATATGTTTGTTAATTTGAATTAATATGCACATGTATGACATCAAGATTTAATATTTATATATGATTATATTTGATATAAAATATTTATATTTAGTTTCTAATGTTTAAATGATATGTATAATATTAAAGAGATAATTAGCTAAATCCCCTTAAAAAAAATCTTTTATCCAAAAAAAATCCATAAAAATATTCTTGTATTTATTTATTTCTAATACAAAATCTTCATTATATTAAAAAAATGAAATATCTAACTCTTACTTAATATCATTAACTAATTTGACTTTTTCAATATAGAGAAAAAAATTGTTTTGAGGTTTTTTTCTTAAAAAAAATTAATAGATTTTACTTAAAAATATCTTACAAGGTTATATACCTATAATGTTATATTTAAAATATATATATATATAGTTAAGTTATATAATATGATATTATAATAAATGTTTTTACCATTACACTTTTTATACGATAAAATAATTATATTTAATGTTTTATACATTTTAAATAAATTTAAAAAAAATTAAAACACTAATAAGTTTTTTTTCATCTTACTTTTAATGACATAAACAAACATTATAAAATATTTCTAACTTATTTTCTAAGATATTATTAAATATTAAAAAATAATTTATTTTTTATAAATCTATTTACT